CGGCTCTCCAGCCACTCCTCCCCAAGCCTGCAGCGCTGCCAGGGGTTATTCTGACCTGGTTGAACCTCAGACCACTGGCCTCAGCCCATCGATCCAGCCTGTCCAGACCCCTCCGCAGAGCCTCCCCACCCTTCAGCAAATCAACTCCCACCCAGCTTCACGTAATCCGCAAACTTACTGAGGGCACGCTCAATCCCCTCACCTAGATCGCTGATAAACATATTAAACTGAACTGATCCCAACACCACTTGTGACTGAGCTCCTATCCCCTGCCCTCTTTGGGACCAGCCATCCAGCCAGCTCCTGACCCAGTGGCAGTATGCCAGTCCCAGCCACGGGCAGCCTATTTTTCCACAAGAATGCAGCAATCCACCATGATATTTGCCTTCCTGGCCTTGCCCTTGGTTCTTACCCATAAACACTCAACCCTATCGTCACCGTCATTAAGCCCCAGACAATCAAAGCACTCCCAACAGAGAAGATTACCTCACCACCTCTCTTTCCTACCTCACCACCTCTCTTTCCTTGCCTATCCCTTCTCGAGAGTTCAGAGCCAGTGCAGCAGCTGTGTGAGCCATACCACCACGTTTCCGTGATGGGAACTACGTTGTTGTTTTCCTGTTGCCTGATGGCTTGCATCTTCTCCTGCTTGTTGCCCATGCATGCGTGCCCCTTGCCCTATGGCTCCAGATGCAAAAACATTCCCTGGAACTCGGAATACTGTTTTCTTAGCACACAGTAAACTCTGAGGGCAGGAGGCACAAGTCCATGGCAGAGAGGAATCAGAAGCCCCAGGACAGGATAGTCGCTGTGGGACAAATTAGCCCTTGCTTACTTTGCCTCACCCCTCAGCTTCTGTGTGGGCAAGGGGCTGTCCCCCCTGCAGAAGGTGACCGCAGGCCGAGCTACAGATGGCCTGGATGAATGCCAAGGGCAACCGGTGCCACTGGTGGCAGGAACAGGCGGCGCAGGGTCAGCCCAGGCTGGGACCACCGGGGTAGCCTGAGCCACGCCACGGACCCGCTTTGGTCCACCCACTGCTGCAGGACCTCACCCCACACACCCACCCACCCCATCCGCCCTACTGCGTGCCTCCTCTGACCAAGGTGGTCTGCAGGAGACAGGAAAGCCTTAAAAACCCCTTGGCTCTCACACCCAGCAACAGTTTGACATCACGAGCACTACCGAGCCAGGAGGATGCAGTGACAAGGACTAATGCAGCACAAACCCAGCCCCCAGGATCCAAAGCACGGTGAGAGCAGCCACGTGGCAGCCTCCTGCGCTTCCTGGGCATCCCAGACAGCATGGGCTGGCAAGCAGACAGGCAATCTCCTAAAACGAGGAGTCAATACTTGCTTTAATCCAGGATTAAACAAGAATGGTTTCAGTCATGCGTTCTGACACTGAGCAACTGTCAGGTGGCCAACGAGGCCAGGAGCAGCCAAGCCCCAGGGAAGAGCTGTGCTCCACCCTCTGCATTCCCTCTGCCACCTCGAAGGAGTCCCAACCAAGAGGGACTCCTGGTTCCAGCACCAAGAGTGAGGAGGTGGTGGCAGGGAGAGCCTTGCGGAGTTACATGAAAGAAAAGTGATGCTGGAGCAGGTCTGGATGGAGATGCCTACTGTGCTGGCTTACCCACAGCCATCTGCCTGGGCTGGTCAGCTCCTGGGTGCCAGGCTTGCCAAGCCTTGCAGGGCACCTCCTGGCCATCATCACTGTGAGCAGAGCAAGCAGCTCAGTCAGATCAAAGGCAGGAGGGTTCCAACAAACATCAACAGGCCAAAACGAGTAGATCTTAATGAGAGCACAAGGGCATCCACTCCTGCCCCTCAACGGGTCAGAGAATAACACAGTAAGAGAAAGCGAGCTCAAAGCATCACGATTGGGTGCCTGGAGCAAATGACAGGATCTTTCCTGGAGCAGGAGGTTGATCTGACTTCTGACAAGAGGACTTAGGACCTGATCCACCCCCTAGGTAGCCCTTTAAGGAGAAGACCTCCCCAGGTGGACTGGCATAGCACAGCAGCTAGAGCTCTCTGTGGGACTCAGTAGGTCCTCACAGGTGCTGCAGAGGCCTCCTGCACAAGGCAGCAGCCCAGCAGGCAACATTTCTACCCATCAGTGCCTTTTAAGCTACCTAAGGTGAGAGAGAAAGGGAGGACCTGGAGCAGTGAGAGGAGGTGGGAGGAACTAAGCCAGTAACTGTCAGACCGGGGCTCCAAGCAGCTAGAGCTCTCTGTGGGACTCAGTAGGTCCTCACAGGTGCTGCAGAGGCCTCCTGCACAAGGCAGCAGCCCAGCAGGCAACATTTCTACCCATCAGTGCCTTTTAAGCTACCTAAGGTGAGAGAGAAAGGGAGGACCTGGAGCAGTGAGAGGAGGTGGGAGGAACTAAGCCAGTAACTGTCAGACCGGGGCTCCACAGGGAGCAGATCAGAGTTGCTCAGCTCAGCTCGAGCATCCTCCCAGGGAAGTCTCTCAGTGCAGACAGACCCAACCTCTGTACTCACGGGCTTGTCTGCTTGGGACAGGATCAGCTGAAACTCAAGTGTAAAAGGCCAGAAGCGCTCAGGCAGGCCTCTGAATCTAGAAACCCTTCCGCAGAGGTGCAAGGACAAGATGGGAGGATTATTTCTACAGAAAGAGTGAAGGAAGGAGCACCCCAGACATGCCTTTGGCAAAGTCACCACTTGCAAAGACAGTGTCCCCAAGTGCAGAACACACCACTCACAGCCTGCTCTGAAGCAGAGCTGAGAACTAAATCCAGCTCCTACACAGCTCCAAATCCAACCTGCAGTTCCCAGCACCTTTCAAAATACCCGTGCCTATCCCTGAACTCCTTATCTAGAGCTGCGATTTGTGATTTTCGGTGCTGCCTGGACCTGCCTGCCTGCCAGTGACTGATTCCCTGCACTGAAAACCCAGCGGGTCACAGACCCTGCGCAGGAGTCACACGTGCAAACCCCTGCTGAGCAAGGGCACGGCTCCCAGGGCGGCAGCTCTGCTCTGCCAGCTTCCTTACAGTTATACACTCACTTTTCCATGCACTACCAACTCTGCATCAGCCCTCGGATTTATCCACAGTGCTCAGACTGGCACAAAGGCTCAGCCAACGGCAGTTTTCAGGCTCTGGGTTCAATGCTGCTGGGGTGCAGAGCGGGCATTCCCAGGTCGCTGCTGCCTGCCAGCCTGGAGAGGACGTGCAGATTTCAAGGGCTGAAGTGGTTCGAAATCTGTGTAATTGTTATGGAGCAACCCAAAACTAAACATTTCCCAACACATCTGGAGCATTAAAAGGCTGAAAGCATCGTAAGTGTGTTTCATTTAATTCGAAGCAAAATATCCTGTTTTCACTTGTTTTCCAGCTTACAAAGCACAACAAACAAAACAGGCTTGAAAACAACATCTGAACATCTTTCAAATTAAAAAAAAAAAAATTTCATTTTGCAAAAGACAAGGGCTTAGGCTTGCCAGGGTGGGGATATCTTATGGGATTGCTTAACTCACTTTTCACTCAAGAAAATTAAAAATCTCCAAATCTCCGTCCATGCATATGGAAATGCATGTCTTTATGTGCATTTATACACGTGCAAGTGAGAGCAAAGTGAGAAAGTAAAGACAGGATCCAGGTGGGGTAAATCAGGACAGCTCTGCTGAGGCTAATACTGATTCACAGCAGGGAGAATACTGTCCCCCGGGTTCCTCGCGCCACCCCAGTCTTCTGAACCAGGACTTTAACCCTCCTGTTACACCCAGATCTCTGACACTGTGGGAAACCTCTCCTGTTCCCACTATTAGCACAAAACAAACGTTACAACACCAAAGCAAAATGCTCCCGTCTAACCAAGCATGACGAGAAGTCAGCCCAGTAATGAATGGGCCCTGGGAAGGAGAAAAAAGTCTTTTGTGTTGGGTGATTTGCAGGGGGGGATGAAGCTCCACTCCCAGCCCGGGGCTGGGGCCGCTCAGCTCCTGGGGCAACACGTGGGGCCAAGGCTTCTGCACAAGGAGGGGTCGGGTCACATTGGGTCCCTGCTTCTGGGGCAGGGACAGCACCGGCAGCCCCGGTGTTGCAGGATACCCCAGCACCCAAGGGAGGAGAGTGGGGAGAAAACAGGCAGTTTTGCCTTTTTTAGAAGTACCACAAATTGGCCCCTAGCAGAAAGGATTTGGGAGTGTTGGTGGGGAAGGTCCTCTCCCTCCTGTGAGGCACAGATGACATTTCTCTCAATGCATTTGTTCCCAAGTGGGTCCAAAGCAAGTGAAGGGACAAATTGCATATCCCAGCTGGCCCGGGTGACCCCAAAGGCGTCCCAGGGAAGCACCCAGGAAGGACACCCAGCTTTCTGCTGCGTAAGACAAGTCATCACACCCCACCAGCAACAGCCATGATATCTGCTGCCAAATCCACCCGCTCACATCGTGGGTACACACAGCTCGTAGCCATCACTGGGCCCGCTCCAGCCCACAGAGCCGAGTCACCGCTGCCCTTCTGCAAACCCGTGCGGCAAAACCGAGGGAGCCACAGAACGACCTACAAGGAGCAAAGAAGGAAATTTGGGCTCTGCCCTAATAGGGACCACAACTCCAGCCTGCCCTGCTCTGGCAGGGGGGTTGGATTAGATGATCTTTCGAGGTCCCTTCCACCTCTAACATTCTGTGATTCTGCGATCCCAGCTTGTGCCCACCTGAGGGGGAAAAACAGCCTAGAAATTCAGCATCCAGGTGACTGCTGCAGCAAGCCACAGCAGCTGCAGCTTGATTTCAGGGCACTCCCCAGTTCTCCGGCTTGACGGAGCTGCGGATTATTCCAGCTCACCTAGGTAGAAGCGAGCAGAACGCTGCTGCTCAGTGCTAACGCCTTAAAGAAGCCGCTCTCCACCCTGTTTGGACCGTGCCGGGCTCTGACCGTGACCTGCTGAGGTTCCCCATGCCGCACCAGCCCAGGCCACGGCCACATCCCCCGGTGTGGCGGGCACCCCCTGTGCCCTGGAGCTGCGGGCTCAACGCTTACCGAACGTGGTGAGGTAGAAAGAAGCTCCCAGGGGGTCAGCCTGGCGAGTACAGAGCGAGACCCTGTGGATGCTGTCAGGCTCCATGGCAGGACACCTCTAATTAGGGGGTAACCGGAGCTCTCCCTGCCCAGCCCGGGAGAATCAAGCGGCCGTTTAAGCCGGGAGCGACCAGCAGCCGTTTTTTGCCGCCGGGTTTCCATGGGACACGCGTCCAACCGCCGCGCGTTTGAATGGCACAGCTCCCATCGGCCCCGTGGATTTGAACGGGGACCACACCTGTCTGAGCAAACAGCACAAGGACATGGGCCCAAGACCCACACCAGCACCGTCCCACAGCCACCCTGCTGACACACCAGCAACAAGCTCCCGGGAAAAGAGGAAAAACTTGCAAGGATTCCTTTGCTCTGCAGTGTGCTGGGCTGTAAGTAATCCTGTGACTGTTAGCACCACCGGGTTTGCCAGCACATGCTCAGCTGTTCCAGGAACTGTCCCACAGGAGCTACGTGGGGCAGCAGCACTCACGGCACTTTGGGGAAATTATTGCAGGCAAGGAAAAGGTGCAGAATTGGTCAGCGAGGTGGGGTGAGCCAAGAAAAGGAGGGATGGCAAGGCATGGGTTACCTGCCTGGCTCTCATATGGCAAGGAAAGAGGCACGCGGCCCCCCAGGTTTATGAGGTCGCTCTGCAAGATCCCAGAGCAGCCCTTTCCATCTCCCAGGAGCTGGTGATGCACCCACCAGTTCCTGACGCTGCATCACAGCTTACTAGGAGATACCCAGAGCTGAGAACAAGCTCTGGAGAGTGCGGAAGAATGATGGAGATGGTTTCTCTGGGACAAAAAGAAAAAAAAAAAAGCCATAAAAAACCCCACCCTTCAAAGGCTAGGCTGCCCTGTCCCTCAACTCTCTGCTTCCCACCCACAGATCCACGCAGCCCTGCTCTCCATGGTGCAGGACCCCATGGAGGAGTGATCTCCAGCAGAGTCCAAGCAGAGTGGAGCTGCTCCCACACCACCCCTCGCTGCAGGAAATGCCACACTCGCCAGGTTTGGTTCCTCACGGCACTGCTGTGAGGCTACCGGGTCCACAACGGCACGGGGGGGGCTGTGGTGAGCCTGGATCAGCCCTGTAGGGGCTTTCAGGGTCAGAGCAGCCCATTCACAGGTCCTGCTGTCCCAGGCAGAGATAGGAAATGGGAGCTCAGCCCTGACAAGTGAAGGTCAGGAGAGACAAGCCTGCAGCCTAGCACAGGCTCTGAGACGTGCTGTAATCCTTGCACTGGCACCTTCGTTTCCCAGCCTGCATCCAGCTGAAATAACGCTAAATACATTGACCTCTCTGCGATGGAAAAGGACAAGATCTCCTGTGGAGAGCAGGGCACTGGACACACACTCCCACCACTCCTCCCCGTGGTCTCCCCTCCACACACTTCTGGCTGAGCCTCCAGCTGGCCCACAGACCCTCTCGCCCCCCTGTCACTTACCTTTCCCCTTCACCCGTGCGTGGCTGATCTTCACCCCTGTCACTTACCTGCCGCCTTCACCCGTGCGTGGCTGATCTTCCTCCTGCTCCCCGATGGTCCCCTCGGCTTCCGCAGGGAGGATTGTACGGCCCCGCGTCGCCCCTTCCTCACGGCTGGCAGATGCTCCAGCTCCAGCATCTGG